CCAATTGTGCGCCGCCCCATGGGTCTCCCGGTCGCGGCCAGCTACGACAGAGCCTGGATTCGAACCAGGATCTCTAGTGGCACAGCTAGCACTGCGATGCAGTGCCTTAGACCACTGCGCCACTCGGGAGGTTGGATGGCGTATTGCTGCAGAATGCTGTGGTAGCCATGCTGGTTAAGTGTGCCTTTAATTCTAAATAAATCACAGACAGTGTCACCAGCAAAGCACCCCCACACCATCACACCTCCTCCTCCATGCTTCACGGTGGGAACCACACATGCGGAGATCATCCGTTCACCTACTCTGCGTCTAACAAAGACACGGCGGTTGGAACCAAAAATGTCAGATTTGGACTCATCAGACCAAAGGACAGATTTCGACCGGTCTAATGTAAATTGCTCGTGTTTCTTGGCCCAAGCAAGTCTCTTCTTATTATTGGTGTCCTTTAGTAGTGGTTTCTTTGCAGCAATTCGACCATGAATGCCTGATTCACGCAGTCTCCTCTGAACAGTTGATGTTGAGATGTGTCTGTTACTTGAACTCTGCAATCTGAGGTGCTGTAAAAATAAAGAAAAACCCTGGAATGAGTAGGTGTGTCCAAACTTTTGACTGGTACTGTATATACAAACACATACATACATACATACATACATACATACATACATACATACATACATACATACATACATACATACATACATACATACATACATACATACATACATACATACATACATACATACACATACATACATACACATACAATACATATATACAGTACCAGTTAAAAGTTTGCCCTGTTTGTTTTAACTCCCACCCTTCAGCTCCACTTAACCCCTCCAATCTATCTCCATATTGGATTTCTATTTGCCATATATTTTTCAACTGTGCAGTGATGTTTCACAAAAGTTCTGAACCTTTCTATTCTCATAGTTTCTACAGATTATAAATTAAAGATTTACAATCATCATTTTATCTCGGCAGGCATTTTATTAGAGAGAAACAGTGATTTAATTGACCCTGGTCAGTCAATCGACTGCTCTTCCTTCTGCCAGTCTCTAGCTGACTCAACGGTTAACCCGTCAACTTCTAGTGAGTCTTTGTTTTCATTTCAACAATTTACTATCTGTGATGTGCTAGATGCCTTGCTTAAGATTAAGATTTTAAAAAATCCACTGGGGCTGATATGCTTGATCCATTTTTGCTGCAGCCCCCCTATGTACTCCCCTTTCCCAAAGGTGGTGACCCTTGTGACCAAAATAATTATCGCCCTGTTTTTAAACTAAAATATAAGAATCCTTGATTAAATCTCAGCTAAAATGTTTCTTATATATGAAATGTATTCTAATGTACATCAGTCAGATTTTAGACATTTACATTTTAGTCATTTAGCAGACACTCTTATCCAGCGCGACTTACAATTAGTGAGTGCATACATTTTCATACTGGCCCCCAGTGGGAAACGAACCCACAACCCTGGCGTTGCAAGCGCCATACTCTACCAACTGAGCTACAGGGAACTACAGACCAGGTCATAGCACTCTCTGCTGCATTCCTAGTTATAAATGATGTGCTTAACTGTATGGATAAAAGGCAACATTGTGCTGCCCTCTTCATTGACCTGTCAAAAGCTTTTGATGCTGTTGATCACTCACTGCAAATTCAGAGGCTTTCCTCAATTGGCCTAGACCAGGATGCATGTAACTGGTTAAAAAATTACTTGACAGATAGAACTTAATGTGTATCTACTGATGGGGTTAAATCAGATTTCCTGGATATTATGAAAGGTGTCCCGCAGTGGTCGATTCTGGGTCCTGTACTTTTGACTGTTTACATAAACAATATCGAAATTTACCTGCACTTGTATGCCGATGATACTGTTGTGTATGCTATTGCCCCCACGGTTGACCAGGCTCTATCTGAACTACAGTCTGCTTTCATTGTATTACAGAAATACCTTATTGACCTGAAATTAGTATTGAATGCAGATAAAACTAAGTAAATAACTCTGATGATTTAAGCATATGTACTTTGGATGGTATCCATACTGATCGTGTCCCTGCTTACAAATATCTGGGCATCTGGATAGATGAAAAGCTGTCTTTTTAAAAGCATATTGATGAGTTAGTTAAGCTGACAATAAAAAAAGTGCCTTCTTCTATATAAATAGGTCCTGAGGGCCTCCCGAGTGGCGCAGTGCTTGAGACGTCACTACAGACACGGGTTCGATCCCGGGCTGTGTCACAGCCAGCCATGACCGGGAGAACCATGAGACGGCACACAATTGGCCCAGTGTCATCTGGGTTAGGGGACGGTTTGCTCTAGCGACTCCTTGTGGCGGGCCGGGTGCCTGCAAGCTGACTTCGATCGCCAGCTGGATGGTGTTTCCTCCGACACATTGGTGCGGCTGGCTTCCGGGTTAAGCGAGCAGTGCGGCTTGGCAGGGTCGTGTTTCAGAGGATGCATGGCTCTCGACCTTCGCCTCTCCTGAGTCCGTAGGGGAGTTGCAGCGATGGGACAAGACTGTAAAAGTTGGTCCTTTCTCTCACAAAATAATAGAAAGCAGGTTATTCCGTTGACGTTCCTATCGGTCCTAGACTATGGCGACATCATCTATATGAGCACAGTTGCCACTTCATAAACCATTAGATGCAGTTTATCATTACGGGCAACAATTTTTGTACTCATCACTGCATTCTCTACCAGAAAGTTGGTTGGCGCTCTTTGGTGTCACTTGGTTAATACATTGATATGTTTTTATTTATAAAGCTCTTTTATAAAAAGTCCCACTGTACCTAACATCATTACTAAACTTTAGACATAAGTGTTACCACACCCAGTCTCAGGGATGGCTAACTCTGGAAATCCCTTTGGTCTCTACTGAGTTAGGTACATCAGCTTCTAGCTATTTTTCACCCTATTTGTGGAACAATCTTCAAACTGTTCTTACATTTGATGTTTTGGTGCCTCTAGAGCAATTCAGAAAGCTGATTGAGGACCTTATTACTTATGAATGTGTTTTTTTTTAAGACAGTGTTTTTGTTTCTGCTTGCATTTTGTATTTATATTTTGATGTATTTTATGTAATTTATGTAATGCAGGGCTCATCTGTAAAAGAGGTTAAACACATTAAATGGAGGGAGATGCTATGCTACTAGCCTCGATCTCGAGACAACTCTGATATAAAGTTTTTACACAAAGTTGCCGAGATGTCACGTGTCATACTATATATCAGTACACTCGTAACAACATAAGCATTACAAAACTTCTACTCGATCAAATAAACCTCACATAGCAAATAAGCCATTACATTTTTTGATGACAAAATTCGACTCTCTCTCATTGACCTCAATACAAAAAAATCCTTGCTTGGTGAGCAAAAGAAACAAAACAACGCCATCTTCTTCTTCTTCTGTGAGGTTTAACGACGGTTGGCATCCAATATGTTGCATTACCGCCGCCAACTGAACAATAGTATAGATCCATTACACTTTGTGATACAAAATCGGAAAGGGGAACCAGGAAAAAAAAAACATATATACATATATATATATATATATATACATATATTTTAATTACCCTACCAACTATCCCTATACTCATTAAAACCCATCACCTTATTCCACTACTTTAACCCTATCTGATCCTACCCGAGGCCAACGGCCTGAGAGGATGGGACACTACCACGCAACACACGCTGTAACTCTTCTGAAGTCAAATCTGCCACCACAACATCTATATTCTGTGATTACGTTCAATTTCTGTGAAGGCGTTTTTTCGCCCACCAAGCGAGGAGTTTTTGTATGGAGGTCAATGAAAGCGTGTGGAAATTAGTCAACAAAAAATTTAATGGCTTATTTGCTACGTGAGGCTTATTTGATTGAATATAAGTTTTGTTATGCTTAGGTTGTTACGAGTGTACTGATATATGTAGGACACGTGACATCCCAGCAACTTTGAGAAAAACAACTTTATATCGGAGTTGTGTCTGTTGTTCACACGAGTATCTGCCCTCTCATCGGCTAGAATGGTCTCACCTCGCCTCGTCTCCACTGCCTTCAATCTTTGAAGACATGTTATTTCATAGAGCCCCACAGTGGAGGTGTTATAATACCCATAAAACCTAGCGGTCAAACAGGGAAATGGTTCCCAAAAAAAATTCCGCCACCAATTTTTCCCATAGAGAATTTTAGAAACTTAAATAAGGGCTAAGTTTCATGTAGGTTTACCCTGGCGTGACGTTTTGATAACCATGTAAATCTCTCTCTGACAAGATTACTTTTATCAATATATTTGGCTCTATTTACGCTCAGATCCGAAAATGCTAATTAGTATCAAAGTAGACATCATGCAAGACTACAAATCCCTGCAAACTCCTACACATCATCTATAGCTGACACCTTTGCTAACAGATATTGTGTCAATTTAAATTAGATAGTTAATCCAGAGATTATTACCTTTGCCTAGATTTGGCATGCTCATCCAGATCACCATGGCATTTGTAGTTCTTTATGATCGCCACATTAGCAGCTAATTAGCGTTTCATTATTGGGGGTAAATAAAGGTGAATATATTGATTAAAGTCACCTTGTCCTAGAGAGATTTACATGGTTATCAAAACGTCACAGTAGAGTAAGCCTACACAAAGCACAGCCCTTATTTTAAGTGTTAAAAATGAAGGGTGGAAAAACAATTGGAACAATTTCCTTGTTTGACCGCTAGGTTTTATGGGTATCATACTGTGGTACTCTATTGTTAGAGCTGCCACTTGAGTATCTGGTCAATATAATGATTAATCTGTGTTATTATACACACTGCAAGGATGACAAACTCATCGGGTCACATGACCTACAGCTGGTTGGTTTCTGTGGTGCTAGTGCTCCGGTTTGTGTGAGAGAGAGTCCACTCCAGTCGGTGATGGATTGCAAACGCAAGAGGACATAGCCAGCTAATTCACGAATACGTTTTTACTATAATAATAGAAAATACCTGTTTTAAACATGGGGCAGTGTGGTATTACCTCATCAAAGACGGTGCTGGTCTTTCTGAACCTAATTTTTTGGGTAAGTTAAAACGACAACTGTTTCGTTCGAGTGCGCAAAATCTCAACCACAACATTATACGCAGCACATTTGCTAGCAACCTGCTAGTTACTACCATTCAAGTCAACCTAGGCCATGTGACTGTTTGTCTATCTTTATCTTAAATATACTGTTTGAGAATTTGGGCCTTTGGGTTACTACAAAATGCAATGTTATTGCAGTCATGTTGCTATCCCTTTTATATTTAACTAACGTTAGCTAGCTGAACATTTCCTTTCCTTCTCTGTCTTTCTTTGTCTGGTTGCTTTGGCTACTGCGGCTAGAATCAGGGAGTTTCATGCTGGGCTTTTGTGCCCCCTTTGTCCCAGGACGAAAGGCACTGCCTGGAGTCTAACCCTGTTTAAAAAAAAAAAAATTGTTTAATGCCCCTTCCCATAAAATGATACTGTAGCCTGATAACCATACTGTAAGTGGGTCCTCAACATAAAGTGTTTGTTGGCAGCTCTTTTTCTAAACTTCCATATGTTAGGAAATGAGGTTTGAGAGATCAATAAACACAATGGTCTTTGTATTGGTCTTCGCCAGTTAGTGAGCAATCAAATAATTCCAATTGAAGGATTGAGTTATTATAATGACAATGGGATGGTTTTAATATTTGTATGCTTTTGTGTCAGACAAACATGCCTTTTGGCCCATCCTTAGCCCATAGCACGCTAAAGATTGGCCTCTGATTATTTAGGCCTAACAACCTCTGAGGGACCATCAGAGAGGCGATACTCATTTTAACCTTTTTCTTTTTTTTAATATGCTTTTTTGTGTTATTAATACTCTCTCCCCCCCATCATACAGGCAGCAGCAGGGATTTTGTGCTATGTTGGAGCCTACGTGTTCATCACCTATGATGACTACGACCACTTCTTTGAGGATGTGTACACCCTTATCCCTGCTGTGTCCATAATTGCAGTTGGAGGCCTCCTTTTCATCATCGGTCTTATTGGATGCTGTGCCACAATACGAGAAAGCCACTGTGGGCTTGCAACGGTCAGTGCAGGGCTCTATGCAGATGTTTTTTACAGGGAGCACGTGTGCACCTAAGTTGAAAAATGTAGGATCACACAAAGAAATTTAGGAGCACAATGAAAAATATGAGGTAACAAGCCGTTTTCTTTGTAGTAATGGTGCAAGCATGCCGGTCATGACTCTGCGCTCAGTGTATTCCCCATGGCACTCAGGGGCTGCGGTACGGTGAAGTAATCATTGCAAAAAGTATATTTTTTGTTTGTTTTTTAGCACACTGGTGCGCCTAAATAAACATTCCAGGTCGCACAGCAAAATATTTGGCCGCTTATGCAAGTAAAATGGTTGCACTGTAGAGCCCTGCAGTGAATGTTGCCTTATCACCTACTTCTACAGCATTCAAACTGGGCTCAGTACTCCCTCAGTAATCCTGTTGGCCAGAAGACTGATTACTAAATACATAACCTAGTTCAGGCTACAGAGAGCTTATGTTGTTTTGTATCATGTTGGATAATCCTTCATTACAGTTTTATTGATTTAAATGTGCATTTTATTCCTTATGAATGCTAGAGATCTTAAAATCCTCTCCCTTTGTATTTTCAGGAGTTTCTTATGTTTAATTCTTCCTCTTTTCGCCACAGTTTGTCATCATTCTCCTCCTGGTGTTTGTGACGGAAGTGGCAGTGGTGGTTCTTGGTTATATTTACAGATCAAAGGTGTGTAAGTCAAGTACATATTGATCAAGGTTACGTTTGTGAAAATCAGATTTTGTTCAGGATAACAATACTCTCTGGATATGTTCCTATGTGAAACGTTTTTCTTTCAACCACAATATTAACAATTTTCTCTATGGAAAACATAGTAGCATATGTATTTTTATATTTAGTCTTCCCATGAATGGGAAAAGTGCTATCTTAAGTGGTAATAAGGTTGTGTAAGATGGACATTCTAATCTCAGGAACCTGTTTACAGGTTGAAGACGAAGTCAATCACTCCATCCAGAAGGTGTACAATGAGTACAATGGCACAAACACAGATGCCTCAAGCCGTGCCATTGACTACGTGCAAAGACAGGTGAGAGAGATATAATGTAACTTGGGCAATTCATGTTTTGTGTAACAGTTTTTAAGTTATTTAAAGCTGTATTGAAATGATCTAGTATTAACCATCACCATTTCTCATGCCTGCAGCTCCACTGTTGTGGGATTCACACTTACTCAGACTGGATGAACACACGCTGGTTTAATGAGTCTCGAAACAACAGTGTTCCAGTGAGCTGCTGCAAACCTAATGTCAGCAACTGTACAGGCTCTCTAGCCCGTCCTGGAGACCTCTATCCAGAGGTAAGAGATTGTCCAATACATACCTATGCTTTGCTCTCATACATAACATACACATTGATTCTCTTACACAATGTATTGTTTTGTGTCTCCAGGGATGTGAAGCCCTTGTTGTGAAGAAACTAAAGGAGATAATGATGTATGTAATCTGGGCTGCACTGACGTTCGCTGCAATTCAGGTACAGAACCAATTCCATCAGCTCTCTTTCGTTCAACTAAGGGATGTGTTGTTCCATCATGTGACCCCCTCCCTATGATGACTCATGAAGTGATTCATTATGGAGGCTGAGTGGGCCTGGGTATGCCATTATTATGTCAACCCCCCCACCACACTCCAGCAGAGCCTCAAGGGACAGGGCCTAGAGGGGATTGATTCATGGGGACAGGGAAAATGCATCTAGGAATTTCTGGAAAAGGGGAAATAGCATAGCCACAAGGTCATCTCAAACTAGGCTAAATGGAGCCTAAAGGAAAAATGGTGTCCCAAGCCAATTTACATTGACTTGATATATTAGTTACTTTGATTTGTTATAAAATGTTAATAATCAGATTCTGTAGGCCGTGGGAAATTGTCAGTGGATTAAGATGGCATGTCATTTGCTAGATTGACCCCTTTTCATTCCTTTCATTTGACTACAATGAGGGGGCAGCTGCATGACAGAGAGCTGCGTTAAAGCGCTGTCATTCATTATTTAAATACAAATCAATCACATGTATTTATATAGCTCTTTCAACATCAGCAGTTGTCACAAAGTGCAATACAGATACCCAGCTTAAAACCCCAGGACAGCAAATGGTCCTAGTCTACATTTAAATAGCTGTTTATCAATATACTGTAGATGCTTCCTTTTAATGTCACCTCTGCATTTCATCAACATTACATTCTCTTATTTTATGGGCTGATGAGTGTGTGTGGATGTGAATTTTCTGGTTTGAAGTCATTCTAGAGGCTTTTGACCCAGAAGCTTCCCTGTTTGCTGCTGATGTAGTAGCTTTGTGTCCTTGCTCAGTGCTCAGCCTTTCCTGGGAGAGTAGTTAGCATAGTGTCCAGGTCAGAGGCTGACAGGCGACATCCTCAGGAAGGTATGGATGGAAGACATGGATGACAAAACGCTTCAACCCCTGATGTTTTCCTTTCCTAGGTATTTGGGATGCTGTGTGCCTGTGTGGTGCTGTGCCGTAGGAGCCGTGACCCTGCCTACGAGCTTCTCATGACAGGGGGAACCTACGCATAAGAGGAACACACACCTAGGCTGATGGCTTTGTCAGTGGGGGATGGTTCACTGGCTTGCCCAAGCTCAGGTTTCCTCTTCTGTAAGTTGAAAAGCTCCTCACACAGTGGCTCATACTCCACAATGGTGATGGGTGAAGTGGTGAAAAACCTATTTATTTACATGCTATGTAAGTTGGTGTTTTTGACTTTTTTTCAAAAAGCTACAAGCCGATTCTTAAATGGTGATTTAAACAAGGTTTTTTGTTACAGTGAGGGAAAAAAGTATTTGATCCCCTGCTGATTTTGTACATTTGCCCACTGACAAAGACATGATCAGTCTATAATTTTAATGGTAGGTTTATTTGAACAGTGAGAGACAGAATAACAACAAAAAAATCCAGAAAAACGCATGTCAAAAATGTTATAAATTGATTTGCATTTTAATGAGGGAAATAAGTATTTGACCCCTCTGCAAAACATTACTTAGTACTTGGTGGCAAAACCCTTGTTGGCAATCACAGAGGTCAGACGTTTCTTGTAGTTGGCCACCAGGTTTGCACATCTCAGGAGGGATTTTGTCCCACTCCTCTTTGCAGATCTTCTCCAAGTCATTAAGGTTTCGAGGCTGACGTTTGGCAACTCAAACCTTGAGCTCCCTCCACAGATTTTCTATGGGATTAAGGTCTGGAGACTGGCTAGGCCACTCCAGGACCTTAATGTGCTTCTTCTTGAGCCACTCCTTTGTTGCCTTGGCTGTGTGTTTTGGGTCATTGTCATGCTGGAATACCCATCCACAACCCATTTTCAATGCCCTGGCTGAGGGAAGGAGGTTCTCACCCAAGATTTGATGGTACATGGCCCCGTCCATCGTCCCTTTGATGCGGTGAAGTTGTCCTGTCCCCTTAGCAGAAAAACACCCCCAAAGCATAATGTTTCCACCTCCATGTTTGACGGTGGGGATGGTGTTCTTGGGGTCATAGGCAGCATTCCTCCTCCTCCAAACACGGCGAGTTGAGTTGATGCCAAAGAGCTCCATTTTGGTCTCATCTGACCACAACACTTTCACCCAGTTCTCCTCTGAATCATTCAGATGTTCATTGGCAAACTTCAGACGGGCGTGTATATGTGCTTTCTTGAGCAGGGGGACCTTGCGGGCGCTGCAGGATTTCAGTCCTTCACGGCGTAGTGTGTTACCAATTGTTTTCTTGGTGACTATGGTCCCAGCTGCCTTGAGATCATTGACAAGATCCTCCCGTGTAGTTCTGGGCTGATTCCTCACCGTTCTCATGATCATTGCAACTCCACGAGGTGAGAACTTGCATGGAGCCCCAGGCTGAGGGAGACAGTTATTTTGTGTTTCTTCCATTTGCGAATATTCGCACCAACTGTTGTCACCTTCTCACCAAGCTACTTGGCGATGGTCTTGTAGCCCATTCCAGCCTTGTGTAGGTCTACAATCTTGTCCCTGACATCCTAGGAGAGCTCTTTGGTCTTGGCCATGGTGGAGAGTTTGGAATCTGATTGATTGATTTCTTCTGTGGACAGGTGTCTTTTATACAGGTAACAAACTGAGATTAGGAGCACTCCCTTTAAGAGTGTGCTCCTAATCTCAGCTCGTTACCTGTATAAAAGACACCTGGGAGCCAGAAATCTTTCTGATTGAGAGGGGGTCAAATACTTATTTCCCTCATTAAAATGCAAATCAATTTATAACATTTTTGACATGTGTTTTTCTGGATTTTTTTGTTGTTATTCTGTCTCTCACTGTTCAAATAAACCTACCATTAAAACTATAGACCGATCATTTCTTTGTCAGTGGGCAAACATACAAAATCAGCAGGGGATCAAATACTTTTTTCCCTCACTGTATTTGTTGCTCTGTGATATTTGACAAATGATATTTGTTGCGCTTAAGTTTTACCCCTTGTTGTTTTGAGGTACACAAGGATGAGGCCTCTGTGGATGATAAACCTACTGAAATGTGGACTGAATACTTTACTCATGTCAGTTTGCAATATGTGTATGGCTTTGGAATATTTTATAAATATTTAAATCTATCATGTAAATAGCTGAGTTGAAGATTCCCTGTGTGTATGAGGTTGCCTTGTGCTACTGCTTTGTTTGTCCAGACCTCACCCTTCAGCAGCACCATTCTGTTTCTGATAAGAAGCAGTGGAACTATAGACAGTATACAAATCAATGGCACTGCATCGGCCCACCAGGAATGGGCAGTAACCAAAGTGCAGTCAAATTAACTGATCTGCTTTGCTCAAATGTGGGCATTTGATTAATCCACATGCACTGTTACTAAAATGTTCTGTTATACTTTCTGTGTGGAGTTGAGCACACTCATGATGTGTAGGCCTAGTTTTAAAATAGATTTTTAAGAAATGTAGTCATGTAGAGAAACGTAAACCGGGGGGGGGAACTTTATCAAATAAATAAACTGTATTCCAGCCAGAAGATTCTGTAGTTTCATTTATTTATATATTTCACAAAGATATGCTCACATTTCTCTGCACACAACCAAGACCATAGCCATGCCTCTCTTGTGTGGACATTAGCGCTGTATGGTTTTCTCCAGACAAAGCACCCTGATGTTCAAACACTAATTGTCTGAGAGCTTTTGTCATTGGCAGAGCCATGGAGTCACATCCTAAACCACTTTTGTGGAAAGGGGTTAAAGTTCACCTCTTTCCCAGGGGGAGGGAGACCTGGCTTTAAGTGATTTGTGTAGCCATGCTTTTGGTTAAACACAGAGTCAGATGATCGGGTTATCTCAATCTTGTTTAATATGGTATTGGGACAAACCTTGTCATTAGATCCTTGAATTGGGTACAGGGGTGCCATAGGCCAGTTGTACCTTGTCTGTATTAAAGCTACAAATAGCTAGCTACTTGCAGAGTTTCTCTCTTATGCATCAGCTAACAGTTACACAGTAATTGTATTTGTAGATTGGGACTTTGAGTCAGGCTCTTAATGACCAGATGCCTCAACTAGTTGGATCAGTCTGCACTGTAATGTGATTGTCTTGAGTCACAAACGGACAGCTGCTTGTGGGGTTTCCAAATAAGTATTGTATTGTATTTAGTTGCGATGAAGCCTATAAAGTCGAGCCATTCTGTAGAGTTCACATTGTGTTAGTAGGCCAAATTGTGATCCAAAGCATTTATAGTGCACTAATTATAGAACTACATAATACAGCATAGATTGCTCGTGTGGGAAACCTCCTGAAATATACATCTATACACATAATCAAAGGATTGCTATTTTAGAGTTAATAATTCAACGTTTTTTGTTTTTTTAAATATTAAAAATGGAGTCAAACAGCCTGGGTCGTCTGCAAACTTGATGATTGAGTTGGAGGCGTGCTTGGCCACGCAGTCATGGGTGAACAGGGAGTACAGGAGTGGGCTGAGCATGCACCCTTGTGGGGCCCCAGTGTTGAGGATCAGCGAAATGGAGGTGTTGTTTCCTACCTTCACCACCTGGGGGTGGCCCGTCAGGAAGTCCTGGACCCAGTTGCACAGGGCGGGGTTCAGACCCAGGGCCTCGAGCTTAATGATGATCTTGGAGGGTACTATGGTGTTGAATGCTGAGCTATAGTCAATGAACAGCTTCTTACATAGGTATTCTTCTTGTCCAGATGGGATAGGGCAGTGTGCAGAGTGATGGCGATTGCGTCGTTTGTAGATCTATTGGGGTGGTAAGCAAATTGAAGTGGGTCTAGGGTGGCAGGTAAGGTAGAGGTGAAATGATCCTTGACAAGTCTCTCAAAGCACTTCATGATGACAGAAGTGAGTGCTACGGGGCAATAGTCGTTTAGTTCAGTTACCTTTGCTTTCTTGGGTACAGGAACAATGGTGGCCATCTTGAAGCATGTGGGGACAGCAGACTGGGATAGGGAGAGATTGAATATGTCCATAAACACACCAGCCAGCTGGTCTGCACATGCTCTGAGGACTCTGCTAGGGATGCAGTCTGGGCCGGCAGCCTTGCGAGGGTTAACACGTTTAAATGTTTTACTCACGTCGGCCACGGAGAAGGAGAGCCCACAGTCCTTGGTAGCGGGCTGCGTCGGTGGCACTGTGTTATCCTCAAAGCGGGCAAAGAAGGTGTTTAGCTTGTCTGGAAGAAAGACATCGCTCTCTGCGACGTGGCTGGTTTTCCTTTTGTAGTCCGTGACTGTCTGTAGACCCTGCCACATACGTCTCGTTTCTGCGCCGTTGAATTGCGACTACACTTTGTTTCTATACTGACGTTTTGCTTGTTTGATTGCCTTGCGGAGTGAATAAATACTCTGTTAGTCACCTTGCCATGGTTAAATGCGGTGGTTCGCACTTTCAGTTTTGTGCGAATGCTGCCATCTATCCACGGTTTCTGGTTAGGGTAGGTTTTAATAGTCACATTGGGTACAACATCTCCTATACACTTCCTGATATACACAGTTACGGTATCGGTGTATTCGTCAAAATTATTTTCACAAGCTACCCGGAACATATCCCAGTCCACGTGATAAAAACAATCCTGAAGCATGGATTCCGATTGGTCAGACCAGCGTTGAATAGTCCTTAGCACAAGTACTTCCTGTTTGAGTTTCTGCCTATAGGAAGGGAGAAGCAAAATGGAGTCGAGATCAGATTTGCCAAAAGGAGGGCGGGGGAGGGCCTTGTAAGCATCATGGAAGTTTGAATAACAGTGGTCTAGTGTTTTAGCAGCGCGGGTACTACAGTTGATATGTTGATAGAACTTCGGCAGCCTAGTCCTCAAATTTGCTTAGTTAAAATACCCATCTACAATAAATTCAGCCTCAGGATATGTGGTTTCCAGTTTGCATAAAGTCCAGTGAAGTTCTTTGAGGGCCGTCGTGGTATCGGCTTGAGGTGGGATATAAACGGCCGTGGCTATAACGGTCGGCATTTGATTGTGAGGTATTCTAGGTCGGGTGAACAAAAGGACTTGAGTTCCTGTATGTTACTACAATTACACCATAAGTCGTTAATCATGAAACACACACCTCCGCCCTTCTGCTTCCCGGAGAGATATGTATTCCTATCTGCACGATGAACTGAGAATCCCTCTGGCTGGACCGATTCCGACAGAGTATCCCAAGACAGCCATGTTTCCGTGAAACAAAGTAAGTTACGGGCCCTGATGTCTCTCTGGAAAGAAATCCTTGCCCTGAGCTCATCAACTTTGTAATCCAAAGACTGAACATTAGCGAGTAATATACTCAGAAGCGGTGGGTGGTGTACGCACCTCCTATGTCGAACCAGCAGGCCGCCTCGAGTGCCTCTCCTCC